CGCGCCGGCGGCGTCGCGGCCGCCCTCGGCCGCCGCCGGCGGCGGAAGCCCGGCGCTCAGCACAAGGATTGACTCCGGGTCTGACCCGGCCGCCGCCACTGCCAGCGCCCGTGTGATGGGCGCGGGCACTTGATGGGTTTTGGCCGCCTTGGCTGGCGACAGCCCCCCCGGCGGCTCACTGCTGCTGGCCCCGCGCTTTGTGCTGATCGCCGGCGAGCTGGGTGCGGCACTGCCGCCTGACGGCGCCCCACCGCCTGCCCCCAAGTTGCCACTGCTGCCCCCGCCGCCACGGCTGCCGCATCCGCCGTCGCCGCTCACAAACACTGGCGCTGCCCTGTTGCTGGGGCTGCTTGCCATGTCGGGGATGTACCGTATCGACAGTGGTGTGGCGCACTTGACAAGTAGCCGCTGAAGTGCCTCTGCCGCGTCTTGATTGGGCTCCATTGTGCCGTAACGTTTTAAGTACTGCGACAGTGTGTGTGTGTGCGTGTGTGTGTGTGCGTGTGTGTGTGTGTGTGTGTGTGTGTGTGTGTGTGTGTGTGTGTGTGTGTGTGTGTGTGTGCGCGCGCGCGTGCGTGCGCGCGCACCCGCATGGGCGTGTGTAAGCGTACATGACCATGTGTGCGCATACAGTGTCATTCTATACGCACACAAGCTGAAATCAATGGGGCACTGAATCCTGGGTATGTTTTCATGGTGCATTGTCCCATGCAGAATCCCTGATCTGTGAGTACAGCTGAGTACAACCCAGAGCTTACGGCTGCCTTCCGCCCACCTGGACTGCGTCAGCCTTGGTGCGCAGCACTGCCCGCGCCTTGTCCCCCTCTGGCCCCGCCATGTGGCTCAGCGCCACCAGTGCATCGCGTCCTGTGGGGAAAGGGCCGCATGACCGCTGCAGCGCGTCCGCGTTGACGACGAGGTAGTAAACGCGGCCGGCGCCGGCCTGCTGATGCAGCACAAATTGCTTGTTGGGGTCCGTTGGGTCGAGCTCAAAAATGTTATAGCTGGTCCATCCGTCAGGCCCAACGACCTGCTCCGGAAAGGACAGAAGCAAGGAAACGTATTGCAGTTAGCAAAAAAGCGAACGCAGCACGTGGCGGCTGCCACCTGCATGTCAAGCATCGATCAGGCGTTGCTGTGCCCTAGGGGCCTGGCTTGGCAGATGTCAATGGTGCATGCGGGCCTCGTGCACAAGCTCCTGTGCCATGCACACACTGAGAAGCGAGAGAACGCACCCACAACTCTGCAGTGCCAGGTCCCTCAGAGACTCAGCCAGTGGAACGACCTGCACCTGGCTCTCACCGCCAGGCGCGCAGGCATGGACTCTGGCACAGCTTCGTCGTGGTCTTGGAGGACCTCCCGCCACTCTCCCTTGACGATCCTCAACGCCTTGAAAACGCGCACGATGGGTGCGACCGCATAGTCGCCAGTTGCTGCGGCGGTGGGGGAGAAGGGGCGCGCCCAAGCTCATTGGAAGGTTTTGTGAAGCGGCCGGTGTATCAGCAGGCCAACAATCGATGAGATCCACCTGGTTTATCCCGCATTGCCTTGTCAAAGCGGTTTGCACAAGGCAACGCAAAGCTGACTGCACTCACGCAACACACCACTGTCCCTCGCCAGGTGCCCCGCCCTGTCCGGCCACGCAAAACATGCACGGCACACAGCTAGTCTGGCCACAGCCATGCCGCACCATCTAATGTCACCAACATGCTGGTTGAATCTGTCCTGCAGACGGTGGCATACAAGTAGCGGGTGTCCTGCTCGTCCCATAGCCACACTCGCTGGCCATTGCTGGCGGCTTGGGCGTCGACGGCCTGGAGGATGTCCTTGCCCGGGGGCTTGTGCAGCTGCTTGCTGTTGTACTTCTCGGGCAGTGTGTATGAGTCCCCGTTGCGCACCTGGAAGCAGCAGACAGGCAGCGCATGAGGTGTCAAGGCGTGATGCATACAATTCCAGGGTGCATCCTTGATGGACGCCGCGCGAGCCAGCAGGAGTGCAGCAACAGCACTCGAAGCGCACTCGACACTGCAATCCATGGCCAGGCCCATGCAGTTACATGAAACACTTGCAGACATCTCACCTTCCGCAGGGAGTACTGCGGCTCCGTGCCCTCGCGCTCATGGACAGCCTCGACCTTCGCTAGAGAAAGACCGTCACAGGCACCCTGCACGCCCCCGCGCGACTTCACAAGTACTTCGTTCCCGATCTCCCACGCCATCATGTGCTGTTTGACACGATTCAGATCGGTCCGCTTTGACCCGACTGACCGATGCCTACCGATGCCTGCGTCTACCAAAAAAATGTGATTGCACTAAGATAAAAAAGGAAGGTTGATGAAGGAACGGCTGCTCAGGAACAGGTCCAACGTCGCGAGCGGTTTACCGTGCTGCTGCGTCAGCAGTCCGCTGGTCGCGACGGCCGCGGCGCAATGCTATCATCACTGTCAGCCGCCGTGCAACGGCCCCACGCTAGCCGTTGATACCAGCAGAATAAATCTAGATCTACAGAAGGCTGCATTAGTTATTAATGCCGCCGTCGCTGCCTGCAGGACCGCTTGGCAATATCTCTTAAGCAGCCTTCCGTAGTGGCAATATCTCTCGTTGAACAAACACAGTTGTTATTATACAGGGACTTTTGTTGACACCGCGTGCGCCCGCCGCCCCAGCGCCGCCCGCCCCCTTGGCTGCTGCCGGTCTGTTGCCGTTTGGCTTGGGGGACGCGCGCGCCTGTTCCGGCGTCGAGCCACTGTACCGAAAGCAGGGAAACGCGACGGGCGATCGGGGAGCGGGGACGCCGATCGCTCCACTTGTTGACAGGCTAAGCTCGCGCGCCGCTTTTCATTATCCATTTATATGTGTGTAAGAGTTTTCTTCATGTGCCCGCGCTGTCCCGCGTAGTCAAAAGGCATGCACACGCAGTCAATCAGCCAAAGCCTGAAATAAGATTCGGTAGCATCAATTCGCCACTTGCAAACTCGCTTTGTCGCATGTTGACCGATCATGTGAAAGTGACAACGACCGCAATTTACCTATCCAGGGCCTGCACGTGCATGGCGTTTTCTCGTTGATCGCACTGGCCTCATTTGCGCAGCATGGCCGCATCGCATCACACACATGCGCACAACCGTTGGAGCTGCTCACATGCCAACCAAATGCCAAGAGTCAAGCGTCTGAAGGTACAAGCGTGATCATAGAGTTCAGAGCAAAATCGGTGTCCCTGTGCTGCTCGCCTGCATACATGTAATGGGTATGTGGGTGCCATGCATGTGCAGCACAGTGGCCAGCCCTGGCAAAAATATCTAGCCTGGCAGGTTTGGCACCGGTATCGTCCTCTCCTACTCGCGGCGACCACAACGCACAAATATGTCGCACTATGTGTATGCATTCTCAACTTAAGATCTTTCTACATATGTACACAGCACGGCACATGCAGGCAGTCCTCCTGCAGCGCGAGCAGGGATGCCGGGATGAGTGAACGAGGGAGGGCAGGGAGCAGAATGCAGCTCACCCCAGCAGGGCGAAGACGAGAAACTCTGTTGCATGTTAGACGTACAGATGATCAGCGTGATAAAATGCTCTTCCTTTTTGTTGGACTCAAACCTTAAAGTGGTTTCGTGGCTGCACGCGCTTGCCCCGGACCTTGCACGGCAACCACGAGCTCAGACTTGAAGCACGGCGAGTGCAGCCGTGTTAAAACCCTTCTTTGATGGTATTGGACCCCAGCTTCCCCTTGTCGTCTCGACCGTGAGCTTGAGCTGTTTCAGCTATCGGCAGCATTCCTGGTATGCTTGAATACATTCATGTATGGCTGCATGCGTATTGCGGAGGTCTTATTCGTAGGGCATCCAGTGCTTTTGCTGTGATTGCGCAGTGCCCAGCCTGCGTAGCCACAACATCGACGCGGTGCGTCCAGTGCAGCGCCCCTCATTCGCACGAGTGCAACGCTCTTGGGTGTCTGGTGTGCTCGCATCAGCATCCGCATCCGCGTGTGTCTAGTTTTGGAATATACACCAGCCGGACCGCACTTTGGGCCGCACGCGCTGTCTCCTATGCCCGTCGGGGGCGGGCAGAAGCAGCAGCGGTGGGCAGGAGCCCCCGCCCATCTTCCATCGCTACGTACACGTGCCTCCCTCCGCGCGC